AGCTCTGGAAACTGTCTGCTAGCAGGTCTTTTTATAAAAATCTTTCTCTCCTCTACACTCAGTGTGTTAATTAGTAGAGAAAGACGATCAACGCCGACTAAAATGGCCCGAGCTAATCTGCAGAACAGTTACTGGGGCAGGTCAGCAGATGTTTTAATTGATCCCCATCAGCTATATAAAGCGTGATCCACTTCAGATTATTAAACGTGACCCTCTATGCTCACAGTCACTGTTATCCCCACTAACAGCATACGTGACAGAACAGAGCCAAGCAAGCGAGCTAACGATGAGCCTCCAAGTGTGTGTGCATTAAAACTGCCCTTCGTTGGCGGTACAAACCCTGTTCATTTGTTATTATCACATGCATTCAACAGTCACATCCCTGTTCATACAGACAGATGCAAAAGGCCAGAAAACAACGCTGTGAGGCATCACCTGAGCAGGTGATCCAAAACTATTTACCGTTGCAGATTATCTGACTGATAGACTGATTGTGCATCTTTAGGCGTCTCATGGTCGGTTCGGGATTTCATGAACTAGATACGGTTTTAAAACTTGAAAAGACTTCTGGCTTTTATCTTCAAGCCACTGGTTTGACAAGCGAGAGCAAACGTTTCTACCTGGACAGATATAAAACTAGCAGGCGTGCCAGTTCGCACCACTCTACACTCACCACAACAGTTTAGGTGCAGCTGGTTATTCTTTCAGGCCCACACTGAGCCGCCTCTGGGGTCCTCTGGGTATTGCTGAGGAGAAGGCCATTAGGCTTTTAGTACTACAGCCTGGTCTCACTGGGATTAGGACACGGAGAACAGAGAAAGTGACAGGCGTTAAGCAAACAAAATCACCGGCTCTGAGGAGCCAGGGCGGGTTCCTGGTCGCTCCCAACCAGGTCTGAAAAGTCACAAATCCAATGTTTAGAGTTGTTTCAGTGAAAAATAGTTAAAAACAGGCGTAGCGGCGCTCTGAGGTGGTCCTTCCATGAAGGCATCCATCGTGTTGCCTTTGGTTGTTCACATTAAAGAAATACCTGTCTAGCAAACGAAGGACACACACTCATGTCCAGCAGAGGTTCTGACAGACTGGTGCTGATGACGAGCAACACCCAGCTCACACTACGAGCTCCCGCTACGCTGCCCTGAACATAACGCAGCATGTGTGGAGTGGAGCTGTCGCAACACAGCAACATGTAAGGATAGAAGTGTTTGGACAGCATGCTGCTGATATGCAGGAACACACTGAAGCTCACCCTGTGCTGATCTGGACGTCTGACGCTCCATCAGAAGTTCCCTCTGACGCCGTTTGTGGGGTTCAGGTTGTCTGTAGCTCTCCTGATCATCAAACTCAGATACAGAACGTATAAATATCTTGGACTGGGTGGGATTTTAGGGCTGCAGGTGGATCAGTGGTTAGCACCGTGGCCTCACAGCTAGAAGGTCACCGGTTCACGTCCCGGTGAGGACACCCAGGATCTTCCTGCGTGGAGTCTCCATGTTCTCCCCGTGCAGCGTGGGTTCTCTCCGGGTTCTCCGGCTTCCTCCCACAGTCCAGAAACATGCTGAGGTTAATTGGTGATTGTAAATTGTCCGTAGGTGTGAATGTGAGTGTGCTTGGTTGTCTGTCTCTAAGTGTAGCCCTGTGATAGACTGGTTACCTGTCCAGGTGAACCTGCCTTCACCCTGAGTCAGCTGGGGTTTTGTTTTTTCCTGTACCTCCTATGACATCAATGCTATAAAACAAGGAAAAAATAAGTGCCAAATACAAGCTGCCTTTATTTTTGACATGGACCTGGTACCAAAGCTTTTGATGCCTGTCCCACCTGTCACCCACACACGATTGGCTAAACAACTTGTTTACGATTGCAGGTTTATCAAAATTCATCATGTACAACAGAAAACGCTAGTCGGTGTACCAGAACATTCAGCTGTGTTTAGATGTTCCCTCAGACAGGACCAGAGCAGGGTCTGGTCTGGTCTACCTCCATGGATCCTAAGCTAGTCCCTGGTTCTTGTGGTGGAGACACACTGCTTGTTCCAGTTACAGAAAGGGCTGAACCTAGACACCTGATTTCACTTTAAAGAGTCGGGCTGGTGGTTTATGACGCTCTCCAACCACCTCTTATGCAGCTAAGTAGGAGCATAAATCCTGTTTCTGTCCATGCAGTGTTTGGTCAGCTCCTGCCCGACCCGGCAGGATGACGGATGTCTCAGACTGACAACACGAGGGGAGGACGATGTGAGCACGTGCTGTGGTTTTGGGCCCTGCAGGTGACTCTGTGAGTCTAACCGTAATAAACACTCAGTAGCACGTCCTGATATCAGCGTCAGAAACATGTGGATCTCCAGCGGTTGATAACACAAAGCCTGACTGACGTGGCTGTTCCAGGAAGGCAGGAACTTAAGCAACAACAAAGAGGTGATGCACAGCTGGAAGGTCACTGCAGGACTGCACGGCATCAGCATTTATCTGTTTGCTCATCTTCACCAACACACAGCAGACAAACAAACTCCATTATTACAGCAAATATGCTGAGTAAGACAATAATGTTCCTGCTTTGGTTCAGATCCTCTTTTGGACATTAGGGCACGCCAGCTGACTTCTGCTAATTGTACCTGACCCAAGGATAACCTGAACGAAGCAGTGAGTCATGTCCCAGTGAAGTCAGTCACATCCATCACCACCACAGAAAGCCCGGTTATGATCCAAAGCTCGTATACATGTCCCTGCACAGCGCTGAAACCGGGTTTGTTTATGGGAACACCAAGAGGAGGAAGTGCAGCTCGAACATCAGTGAAATTATCTGTTGTCCTCTAAAAATAACGTGACACCAGTGAAGCCCGGACTTTACATGTGTGGATGTAGGTTTTTGCAAACAGAAACCCCCAGAGGGTGGAACTGGGCCAAAACGGCGGCTAAAAAAAACACCACGCTGGTCCATTTAAAGCATGTCATGTTGGTTAACTGAACACACTGCTGCACATTTAAACTGTTTACAGAGTGTGTTTTATCTCAAAGTTAAGTCTAAGAAGCCCTGACCTATCGTGGTTCCTCATCGTACAGTCAGAAATTAGATTCCCCATCAGGTTAAGCACCAGAGACGAGCCGATCCATTTGCTGCTGATGACAGAAGAAGAAATGCCTGATGACACCTCGATTGCTTGAAAATTGTCTTTTACCTTCTGAAATGCATCTGTTAAAATAAAACAAGTCAGGCCAGCACATTCATTGTCTGCAGGCCAGCGCAGGCCGGGGATCTAATCAGGAGATGCAAAGTGCAGCACTCTAATTGCATCATTAGCTAAACCAATGACTCAGTCACAGCGACTACAGCCTCGCCCTCCCTCCCCCACCCCACCCTGCGCTGCCCCATCCAGAAATAGGGAGTCAAGCCTCCAGCTCTTTACTGTACAGCTGCTCAAGCAGAATAATCCTAACATGTTATGTGCAACAGCGCAAAATGTTAACGTTCCAGAAATATCCAAGTGAGGAGCCCAGCATTAATGAGACTGCTGCACACTTGTCATCAAGACACTATCCCAGCAGTGATGTCTGTCCTCCAGAGACCACGTCTTTATTCTGACATAAAACAGATCAGCTCACCGTGGCCTGATGCTCACAGCCCGTCTAAAGAACCTGAAGGCTGCCGAGGGGCAACTCCTGGCCTGAGCCTTTTAAAGGGCACCCAGAAGCAATCGACGACGCAGGTGCACGCTCACGAGTCTGATGATTTGGATTTTGATATGATGTGATTTTAACTGGAAACAAATCTCCTCTGATGCTCGGTAATGGGCACACAGCCTCAGTCTCTCTCTGATTTTATGTGTTTTTTGTTGGGAGCACTGCTGTGGCTGCAGAGTGGTGGATGAAACAGACACCTGAGTTTCTCTCCAGCAGCCCCTGACTGATGCTCTGCTGTCTCACTAGGACAGGACTTGTGCTGCATTTCCTGCCTCTGCACAGTGACAGAGGTGAAGACGGCACCTCTGGTTCTTCCTGGTTTGAGTGCAGAGCAGGAGATGAGAGCTTTGACAGGCCTGCTGTCAGAGAGGGTTTGGTGGAGAGAAGTCATGGTGCTGCTCCAGGTCCAGCTCCCTGTCTCTGTGAGGAGAAAGCCTCCTCATCATGATAGCTCTGCGGTCTGTGTAGATGAGGAGATGTTCGGCTGATCTGACTGATGGACCGAGCCTGGCCTCTGCACCAGTCTGAGCTACAGCCAGCGGATGCAGAACCGGACTGCGGCTCTTCTGGAGCTGACGTCTCCGTGTCGGGTCACATCTGCACATCTCTCCGACGTCCGTCCGGTTTCCGTCGGTGTGTGAGCGCGCGCAGAGCCCGGGGCTGCCGCCGCGCCGCCCGGCCGACTCACGTCGGTCCATTATGCAGCCGAACTCGGGCTCGGCACTCCGCGAGCTGATCACGGCTAAACCACACGGTTCCGGGTGCGGACACCCACTCTCCTAATGATGTAACACCTGTCCGGGTCTGTTTCACGTCCCCGCGTGATCCGAACTCCGCCACCGTTCGCGGCTGGTCGCCGTGATTAGCGCCGCGTTAACCGGTCCGAACCACCAAACAGCGAACTGAGCCCCGTTCAGAACTACGGTACGTGGTTACTAAGAGTCCTACCGACCCAGACAGCCGCTCGGCTCGCAGCACAAAGCCTGAACGCTCCTACCTTCGGCGGATCCTGCTCTTCCTCGTCCCTGGATGAAGACCCTCTGCTGCTGTTGCTCTGACACAACTACCACGCGCTGCGCATAAGCCCCGCCCCGCTGCCTGCGGCCGAGCTGCCATTGGCCACTCGGAAGCCAACTGCAGCCCAGCCGAGGCTTCTGATTGGCCGGGCCAGCTGCCAATCAATTCGGATTCTGCTTCCCGCGTTGTGAGCAGCGCCCACAGAGCGCTGGATGCTGCAGCCTATATTTAGGTGTCAACAGCCACTGCAGGCATGTGAACACGAGTGACCTCCGGGATAAATACAGCACAGAAGAAGACACGGAGCCGTCACACTCATGTTTTAATGACAAGTGGCACAATACAGGCTGTGAACACCAAGCAGCAGTTTGTGGGATCAGCTATGTGGGAGTTAAACAACACAAGGTGCCTTTGACTAGAGGGAGGACGACAACCTGTCAGAGCAGAAGCAGACTTGTGTCCCCCGGGACACGATGACTTGTCCCCGGTGACTTTGACTCTGGGTGCCGGCTACATGGACCAGCCGTCTCGTGGTGCCAGACCGGTACAGCGGCTGAGCTGCTTGCACATGGATAGGGAACACGGCTGCAGTCAGTCTTTCATAATCAGAGGAGCCTTGACTTGAGCTGCAACCTCAGCCCCCATAAGTTCCTCTACAATCGTCAGGGCGAACTCGAAGCTGGTTCCTGGCCCACGGCTGGTGATGTAATGTCCATCCTTCTGCACTCGAGCCTCTGAATATTTATAGTGGTCTAAAAAAAGACAAAGAGCAACACCGTAAGGATAACATGAGAGCTTAAAGCTACGAAGTGAGAGCAGAACATGTGAACACACAGGTGATCTACCAGGACTTCAGCTGACCCACTTCTAGCATGTTCTGTCAGATTCCTGCATTTTCTTTCACCTCTGAGTGGTGTGCTGCTCTGCTGCAGAGTGACATGGTTCTCCACAGGCAGGAAGGAGCTGTTGCAGCGCCATCTGCTGTCCTTCACAAGCCACTGCACTTCTTATGTTCTGCACTACAGCAGTAAATATTGAAAGCCCCCAGCTACACATGAGCTCTGTTTTCTCTTTACCTCCAGCCATCATCTTCTCCTTGGCGCCAGGATGTGTGGTGACGGTGCTGCCGTAGCCGATGCCGTGTGCCAGGAGAGCAGTGGGACCTGCAGAAAGGTCAGGCTGTTTAAGGTTCATGGAGCAGCTTCCTGTCATAGAGGCACACTTAGGAACACATTCGGCTGGTTTTCATCTTTAAGCCAAAACGCTGCATCCTCCAGTCACTCCCTTCAGGTTCCACACAAAACACACACAGTCAATAATAAATGAATGACACGTGAATGAAATATTTGATGCTAACACCGTGTCCTAAAGGTGTCCTCAAACGCACCATTGTTTCTAAGAATACACACATGCAGTGTTCAGCGCTGCGCCGCATTGAAAACAGAGAAAAGGAGAGGCCGAAGACATCGACTGCTGCTGCATTAACTTTGGTAATGTCCTAGCACTGCAGTGAGCTCATCCAAAAACTGTTAATAAATAGAAAGTTATTGATTATGCTCCTTGGCAGCCTTCCCGTGCAGTCTAAAGATTACACTTTCCCCTGGCAGAGCGGCAGCCTGCCAGTTAAAGCCGAGCTCCTCCCGTTACAGCGAGTCCCCACCCGAAGGACGCCACAGACCTTCTGAGAACCCGAGTCAGACGTGAGGCAGGTGCAGAGAGACGGGTGATGATGACCGTCTTCTATCATCTGCTGAATCCTGACAGTGATGAGGGCATACTGTGTGGACATGATGCCTGCAGGACTCGTTAGCTCAAACAGAGGGTTTTACAACAGTAAATAATATATTGTTTGCTGGTTCTCAGTCGAGTCCTTTATCAAATAACCTTTCTCGCGTGTCAGGATAATAACTTCCACGTTACAGCAGAATAATCAGTCTTGCAGCCGGCCCTCTTGCTGGCAGGTTCATTAAACTGTATATTCCTGGGAGGATTTCAGTCATTTCTAGGACACCCTTCAATCCACTTTGCCGCATTGAGTCCCCTGTCCCTATTCAAGCTGTCCTTGCTGCGTCCTTTCTCTGCACACGGAGGCTGTCAAATAAAACGTCAGTGCTCGTGGGTTAACTCTTATTAATCAAACCTTTACCCTTTCCCTTCACATGCCGAGGGACTGAACAAATGGCCACAAGCTAGTGACGGTGTACATGTTTCATCGTGGTTCAGGTGTGCTGAGCTCTTTTCAGGTAGATCCTGTTAGAAACATATCAGAGAAGGTCCTGAATCGACCGCCATCTTTAGTTCCAGTTGCAAGCAAATCAAAATCCCATTTACTGGCACGGCATTGGCTTGGTACATAAAAACAGAACATCATAGGTTCAGTGTTTCTGTTAGCAATGAATCACATCGTAGGACAGCCGAGGGTTTATGAACAGTCGTGACTCTGACACTAAATGTAAAACCTTCTCTTATGTCGGATAGGAAGGCTGTGGGATCGTCCAGACGGAGGTCCAGATAACTGGAAACGTGAAGGAAGTCACAAAGAAATCCTCATTGAGCATCAAGTCCTGCAGTGTGAACGTAGCCAATCTGTGGGATTGTTCAGTCAGATAATACGCCGTCATCCTGATTGGTGACATTAAATGTCATGTCGGAGTCACAATCCAAGGCTGTCGCTATGTTAAGGCTGTTTTTATGGGTTCTGTTGGTTTTTCCTACAAACCTGTCGGATAGCAGGTTTAGGATTGTTAAGGGTCGATTATCGAGTCACGACTGTGATTCTATCATTTTATTTCTATCAAACCATCAAACCTGCTTGATCTGATGCTGGAACATCAGGAAGAGCAGCTTTTGTTCTTCACTTATTCCTGAAGCTGCTATTTTACGCAGCAGCTCAGCTGCAGTGCGTGCTGAGGAAACTACATCTGCAGCATGTGATGGAAGCAGCAACATGAAGGTCAAGACACGGTGAAGCTTTAACCCACAGACAGACATCACTGGAGGAGGTCGGTCCTGTGTAATTATGATTGGTTTGTTTTCGCTAACGGTACCTGCACAGATGGCTGCAATCAGGCCTTTTCTGCCGTCTTGATCCTTCAGCACCTCCTTCACAGCGGGAGACTGAGAGAGAGCATGGAAACCAGATGCACAGTGAGTCATTTGCAGGCCACGTGAGCTCCACAGCGTGTATGATATGCTATGATACTATAATCACTCAGACAAGCTGGCAGTGTTTTAAAACACATCAAACACACGGAGCTGCTGCACAGAAATAACCCACCACCGGTTCAATACAACCCATGATTTATGAAGCAGAAAACACGAGAACGGCGTTTCAGTGACACACGGTTCTCTATCAGATGAGTTTGACGATGATTATATAATATCAAACATTCATGAGAACAAATAAAATGATTATTTTCTCTGAGCCCATCAGAGCAGCACAGAAGGACAGAGAAGGCAGCGACAGCTTCCTCAGATCTGGAGCCTGAAGTGTGTTTGTTCAGTCATTAAAACAACATCCTCCTCCTGTTGTCTATGTGCCACCATCTCTACAATCCTCCTCACTCAGGAGAACAGCCTTCAAGCAAAACAACTGCCACAGTGAAAGTGGAAAGTTCTTGGTGAAGGTCTGTTTTGTGCAATGAAGCAGCTCTGTTGGGATGTTTAGTCCTTTAGTTCTGACCACAATAATCCCCGTCACTACTCTGAGTGAACACCGCCATGCATCCTCCTCTTGATCCTGCCCAAGCACAGTGTCAGGGGGACACTGGCCTGTAGCCCTGCCCCAGAGAGGGGCTGTAGTCTGCCCCACCAGGGGCAGAAGTTAGTCATCTATTAACTAACATGCAACATGAAACTGTTTCACATCTCAACCTTCAAGGTGAACAATGAGCAGAATATGAATCCAGGTGACTCCCACGATTAAAAGGCTGCATCAAGTCCTACAGTTACTGACCACATTATTCATGAAGCAGGTTTTATCTTGGCTAAGATGTTGACCGTGGTGGAGGGGGGCGACGATGACCGACATGGTCTGCACACAGCAGGGATTCAGTCGGTGGCGCCTCATATGACAGAACTCTACATATATTCTCCTTATTTATGAACACACTTCTCTAATACGGCGCTGCATGGTGGCTCAGTGGTTAGCACCATCGCCTCACAGCTAGAAGATCCCCCGGTGAGGACACCCGGGATCTTCCTGTGTGGAGTCTCCATGTTCTCCCCGTGCAGCGTGGGTTCTCTCCGGGTTCTCCGGCTTCCTCCCACAGTCCAGAAACATGCTGAGGTTAATTGGTGATTGTAAATTGTCCGTAGGTGTGAATGTGAGTGTGCTTGGTTGTCTGTCTCTAAGTGTAGCCCTGTGATAGACTGGTTACCTGTCCAGGTGAACCTGCCTTCACCCTGAGTCAGCTGGGATAGGCTCCGCCCCCCATGACCCTGGTGAGGATGAAGGTGTAGAGATGATGGATGGATGGGTGGATGGATGGTAAATGATACCCCAATCAGCAAAACTGGTTCAAATGATTTTTTTCTTAACTTTCTGGTCTGATTCTGGTCCTGGTGAGTTAAATTAGTCGCTGCCTCTAATATTAGAACTTTTTTTTTTTCTCAAAAAGTCTTGAAGTGAGTTCAGAGCTGCTCGGTAGTCTTTCTTCAGTTTACGTATAACAATGCAGGTGTTTTTTTTCCAGAATGTTTGAGCATGCTCAGAGATCCTGCTTAAACCCTTGGAGGTCGCCGTCACACCAGCGTGACACAATCATCCCACGCTGTCCAGACATCACAGCAACACTAGTGCAGGTGCTGCCATCGACTTCACTCCAAAGTTCAGACTTTAAACTCTCCCAGTTTCTGCTTCATGTCGACAGACGACGTAAAACCGGAGATATGTTGTTGGAAAAAAACGTTCACAGCAGTACGACATGTGCTGCAGGCGTCGCATTTCTTTCAACATCTTTGTCATTTTTTGTCGCTTTACAAAACGAAAGTGAAGAAAGTCGCTGGAGGTGCAGCTCCTGTGATGTCTGGACAGGATCTATGTTCAGGAGTGGCATCGATAAAACCAGACGAAAGCCTCACATGCAGCTGCAAATGTTTGCATTTAGCTTGATCTTATAAATTTACCTTTTCATGGTCATATCTGCCACCTGTGGTCACATTTCAACTTTCAAAACGCTTCGTTCAGCACGTTTGTGGTTTTTATTGTAATAAATAATACATGTTTTCAGATTTTATATTTCTGTGTGTTTTTGAGCCCAAAATGTTCATAAAGTAGGTTGAAGGGAAACAATAAGAGTCAGATCATGTCGGTGGTGCTGAAGAGACAGACACCAAACACCAAAGACATCAGCGAGCTTCAGTGTTTCCTCTGCATTCATTCAGGAGTGGCAGGACGCTGTTCCTACAGGAACGTAGAGGAAACACTGAGCATGTGTCTGTGTGGGATATAAAGACAAACTAAACGTATGTTAACCGGCCCAAACAGGCCCAGACCTCTGAGGGTTAAACACCTACTCATGAGTCGAGCTCTGCAGTTTATAAACGAACTAAAGTGAACAGATATCCCACTGATGTGAGACGGAGCCACCTGCACATTTAAAAGGTCACTTCCTGAGACACAAGCCACAGAAACAGGACAGCAGAGCGAACCGAGCCGGAGACAACATGAACGAGTGAAGCTGATCCAGCCCGTCACATACAAACCCTACATCTAAGTTCTGTGCCTGTGAACCAACAGGAGAAGTGCTGCTGGGCCCGACGTCTGCCGGCAGAACTCAGATCTCGTGACAGTTGGTGGGTTGGTGCTCGTGATGCCAAACAAACTGTTGCTAACATCTCATTAATGCTTCAGTCCTGAGGGCGGTCCGAGCACAGCCAGCTTTGTTCTAACCACGGATTCAAGCGATCCCACTCGGCTTGTTCTGGTACCTGAGACCGGACTATTTCACACGGAGCTGCACGTCTGACTTTGTTTTCATCTCTAAGAGCCACGGGGCTGTGTGTGTGATGGGTGTAGGTATTTCTCACCTCGGCCAGATGCTGGGCCCCCGGCATGCCTCCTGGCAGCAGCACCACGTCATACGGGCCCTGGGAGACAAACCACAGTAAACACAGATGCAACGCTGCAGCACACGAGGTCTCTGGAAGCTGTGGTAACCTCTGGCAATGCTGCCACAAGTCTGCAGCAAGGTCGTGCTTTCATGTAGCGGTGAACTTGAAGCTCACTTTGTGGAAAAGTCGTCTCACTGGCTGAACCCACTGTGTCCTTCAGAGGGCCACAGGGCTGGACTCCATCCAGGGGACGACACGTGACAAACATCCACGCTCACTTTATCAACTCAGAATCACCATTTAGCCTCCCATGCATATCTCTGGACTCCTGGGAGGAACCAGGAGGGAACCAACACCACCCCGAGAGGCTCGGACATCTTGTTGTGAGGCGACACTTCAAACCACCGCAGCACCATGAGGCACAAGTCTGATAGAAACCTCATTTGCATATGAAAACATGACCTTGCATCAAACTTGCAGTCAGATTTCTAAAAGTCAACTCCAACCGTCTGCCAGGAAACTATAAATAACATCATGATGGTGAGAAAATGAGATTTAAACCAAACATAAAGTGAGCTGGTGGCCGCTGAAACCTGTGATCAGAAGTTGACTAGAAGTTTGGCACAACTTCAGTTTCTAAAACAACGAGACATTTGCTGTACGAGCAGACACACACTGCTGGTCTCATTGTCACAGGAAGGCTGGCAAACTGGAGACATTTCTGATGTAAATGATTGACTTGGATGTAAATCAGACACCAACACTCTGGTGAAGTGAAGACATTCGTCACCAGGAGGGAATAAAACTCACAACATCAACACTGAATGTGGCTTTACAGCTTTGGGTTCAGTTAGTTTGAGGTTTGCTGGGGGTCTGGATGTAGTCTCGTGTTGGTGACAAGATGCTGAGCTCCACCTGTTTGCTGGCCTCCTCCAGGCTCGCATCGGGACAGATGACGACGCTCCGGCTGCACTGGACGGGCTCCGGGCCGGTCAGGCCCGCCACCGTCACCGCGATCTGCCGGTTCATAGGAAAGGAAACACATCAATATCTGCCAATTAAATCGTTACCAAACAACTTTGTCACCAACATGTGTGTAAAGGTGTAATAACATGTTTTAAATGTAGAAGTTCAACTCCTGTAAGAAACCTGCTCCAGTCAGGGTCCCGATTAATGACGGGCCTTCAGTCACTCATGAGGTCAGATCCGGGTTTGTTCCTGATCCTGAGCTGATTGTCAGCGTTTATATTTCACCACAAACACTCACTTTACATCCACAGCAGCTTTTACTTCACATCCTGATATAACACTCAGAGCTGTTTCTCATCCACATGTCAGGAGCTTCTAGAGTCATCGTCTACGTCTTCTTCAGACTCAACAACATCGTGATGCAGTTTCTGCACGTGATGCCTTTACAGACTCCACAGGCCCAGATGCTGGTGACCCGGTTCTTCTGGCAGCTGCACCGCCGGTCGCTGCAACCTCCATGACGACTACAGCTGCTCAGGAGCCATGGGGTCTGGTGGTGGAACTGGCTCATACCTGTGCACACCTAATGTCCATCCATAGTCACTGGGCTTCAGAGACCTGCTCTGGAGAAGGACCCAGTCCTGGTCTGCAGGTGGGCTCAGAGGGAATGCTGTGTGTTAGCGGGAGAGCCTCTGGTCTGATCTCTCCTGCTGCTGCCTTCATGAGAACATCCACTGGACATCAGGTGAGCATGAGCCAGTTCCACCACCAGACCTCACGGCTCCTGAACAGCTACTGAAGCTCATGAGCTGTCATGGAGGCTGCAGCTGCAGCTCTAGTTGGCAGAGTTGTGAAACATCTCATAAAAGGCCCTCACTATCAGGAGGTAAGGTCTGAAAGAGCAGCATTAGCATGGCTGCACTGCATGGCCCCCATTTGGACAGCACACGGCTGGACTCTGACATTTAACTGGGCCTCAGCCTGCCTCCTGTGAAGGTCAGAGGTCCTCCTCACCTGTCAGCACTTTGAACTGCACCTGAACTCTGGCTGGTTCAACAACGTTTAGCTGTTAGCATGTTAGCTTTAGCGCACTGCAGATGCCACTTGTGTAGCATTTCCAGCATTGTTAGCAAACATTAGCCAGCTGGTTGTCATTACAAAGGCTTAGAGTCAATGCTGTGAGCCGCCTGCAGGGGAGGCTAACTTTAACTCAGGCTAGCTAGCTAGCTAGCTAGCAGGCTAAGCTGTGTCGCTCTGTGCCACTCTGTGCTAGCTAGCTGGCTAACGGCTAACAGACAGGTGCAGCTACAAACCCCGGCTCTGCGCATGACGTCCACAGGTATAACGGTCTCCATCTCCTCTGCACCTTTAGCCAGGATCACCAAGGCCCTCTTGCCTGCCATGTCAGCCTGTAGTGGTGCTACTGACGGTGAACTTCAGCGTGTAGCTCCGGCAGCGACGGGCACCGAGGCGCTGACAGCCGGGTTGCCAGAGCCGCTCTATCCCCCTTTCTAAGCGGTGCATCCTGTCCAAACATCATCTCATAATCATCATCATCAGAGCAAATCTGCTGTGTGAGAGACTAAAGTTAGTGCTGCAGGAGGCTGTAGAAAATGTGACTCCAGTTTATTCCTCTAAAGCAGGTGTTATCCAGGGTTTTATTAGCAGAATATTTTTATTTTAAACAGGTGGTCTCGGTTGTAATGTCAGCATCAGCATAAATGTCTCTTAACTTTTAGTGTTTATAGATACATCATGTATATTTTCATGGCTTTTATTCATCAGAGGACAGTAATAAAACCTTCATCTAAAGCCTGTAGGACACCTGCACTGATAGTTTGACTCCAACAGCTTTCTGAGGGGAGAAATAAATAATTATACATTTTTTAAAAAAACAAACCATGTGGCCTCAGACTGAGCAGGTTTTGATTGTCTTGGGGGAAAAAAGTTTTTAAAAAAACCTAAATAAGACTGAATTTGGAACCATCAGATTAGCTGGACTGGTCTGATGTTCACAAACAGCACCAGCTCGTTAAAGGTCTCCTGTTGAGTAGATGGGAGTGGACTTCTTGATTTGGAATCATTAACTGAATATAAAAGCCGGTGTGACTTTGCATCAACACCATACTGTGCCGTGGTAGTTTCTGAGTCTCTGTAAGGAGGATACTCCATCATCAGACTGTTAGATCTTAACAGAACACAGATATAAACATGCTCACACTAAAACTACGACTTGCATCCAGCAGCTGGTGAGCAGCCTACAAACTGAACTGCTGTCTGTTCTACAGCCCTCATGAGATCATAAAAACAGAACTGCTGCTGTTAGAAACTAAAGGTTTCAGTCCATTAAACTGCAATAAAAGCAGGTGCTTGAAATGTCCTTTACTAGGCTGCAGTACACTGTTTGTTCCAGTAGGTGGCAGCATTAACCAAAGATTCAGGAAAGGGTTTCAAGAGGAAGATCTTTAAACAGCAACGTTCACCATGGTGTTGGATCCAGAGACTGAACAGACAACTTCTGAAGACATGAGACGTGTTTTTACAGAGAACATGAGTTCAGCTGATGGAGGGCTGAGGGGAGAAACCTCAAACGAGTAGCTTCATGAATCTGGTTTTGAAAACTCCTCCAGGCCGTAGGTCACCAAGTTCTTCAAGATCTGTCTGAGAACTTGTGCATCAAACTCTTAAGACAGTTGGGAGTCGTATTCCAGAGTACTGGGTGGACTTAGCGTCTGGGGCTTTAGTGTTCAGATCCTGGTTAATGTGCCGCCGTGCTGCTCACATTCACTCCCGTGTTTGTGCGACAGACTCGAGCCCAGTGAAACGGCGGATTAGACGGAGGCGTAGGGGTGCTGGCAGCAGCTTGTTTACTGCGTGCCTGTGAGTGAATTCAAGAAGCAGCGGTGATTACCAGCATATGCAGCTGGGGATCAGCCGAACCAGACCCGCGGTGGCACTACAGCTCATTTCCATACATTAATTCACTTATGTGCGTTTACTAATTCCCGTCGGTATGGAATCGTAAAGTGCTCGATCACACTGAGAAGATGTTTCACAGCGACTTGTGACGCAGGAGAAGGGACGACATTTAGCGTCTGGGGAAAACAAAGGGTCTGACTAACGAGTGAACTGTTTGCTCTGGGTTGATCTGCTCATGGGGAGGTTTGGGAACTGGCTGAAAACACATGATGGGAGAAGGCCGCCCACTGCCCTGCTGGACATCCTTTAATACTGACAACAACTCCTAATGAACGTCCATCAGAGCTGAGCCTGATCAGCTGCTCATCTGTTGCTTAGTTGTCTAAGAACCGATGAAGGAGCTGCTCTGGTGACCTGATGGTGACCAGACCTGCTGCCACTGGTGTCTGATGGAGTCCCAACGAATACACCAGTAGCTTGTGTTCACGTTTGCTCAGAAGTACATCGCTGAGATGTTTCAGCTGATTTTTATTTTAGATATTCTGCTGGAAAGTATTCAGAAACAAAACTAATAAATCATCAGTTTTGGTGTTTTCATTGGATTTGCTGACAGAAACACGGCAGCATGCTGATGAAGTGTAAAGCACACGTAGTTTGTGGGAAATTTGTGAGAAAATATGCAAACTGTTTGTCCTGATAAGTGTGACGTGGCAGCACATTAGGATTCTGGTTGTATATGAGCGAAGAACAGTATGTTTGTATGTTTTACATTTTGGGAAATGTGAGATTTGGCCCGTGGAGCAGAAGGGTCCTCATCAATGGATTCCTTAGCACATTATTATTTGTGCCGTTGCTCCCTCATGCCGGCGTCGCCAGGCCTCGCTCTGCTCGGCTTTATCTGGCCCTTCACAGAGGTCTGCTGAAAACCTGAAGGGCTTCTGGAATCAAACCTCCGGGGAGACGAGGATACAGAAGCATTTTTTATTTTATTTTATGAGGCGGATACAGAGCAAGAAAGAAAATCCTCAAACTGAAATGAGGGAATTCCACAAATTACCGTTTGTCACAAAGTAATCCTGTTACTATTGCAAAGAATATGAAACGGTGTAAACATGGAAATAAACTGCTAATATGGATGTAGCTTACAAGCAGGGGCTCTGTTGGGCTGAGATATACGGCAGCAGACCCTGTTTCAGATCCCCAGCAAGGAAGAGAGCCACAAAATTCAAAGTGGTTACAGAAAATTTGCTTCTACAGGGAGAGATTAACATTTTCAGATGTTTTTCTTTATTTATTCGTTGCATTCCTACATGTCGGCTTCCTTCCGGTCCAGCCCTGTGCGAGCTCGTCGTCAGAAAGCTGATGAATATTTAGAAGCATTTTATCTTTCCATCTGTGCGCAGCTTTATCTGGTGTCTGTTTCACACATTGTAAGCCACTGAGTGCAGGAGTGAGTGACAAGCATGTCATCCTGATTGCATCTTGATGCTATTACCTTATGCTGCCTGGCACTCAGGTGACAGCTGGGGGACAGTCAGGAGACGTGGGGAGAAAAGGTGACATTGAATTTTATGCACCTGTGTCTGCAGTCGTGTGCCCCGTGCAGACACAAGATGGCGCCAGTTGAGTGAGTTCAGCTGTGCGTGGCGGTTGGACGGCGTGGACGGCGGTGTCAGGATGTTTCCTTCAGCAAATAACAAACAGGAAATAACACAAAACTAAAGTTGTGTTGGTCAGCTGTCAGATGATGGAAGGCCCTCCGATGCTGGTCTGCTGCTAACGAAACTTATTCAGATGTCCCGACGTTCATTAAACAATTTGTGTTAAATGCTTTAGAATTATCCAAAATGAGATTCCTACAAATCCAACGCATGACAAATTGTTTTCAGCCACAGACGCTGTCTTATAAATTAAGGCTGCACGTTAATGTGTTGTGTAGATTATTGCGTGTGTGTAACAACATGGACCAGAATTGCCTCACAGTCATTTCTGGTTGCAATAATCTGCCTATCCTCAAATTATGCCCCCACCCAGGGAGGAGGAGGAGGAACAGAGGCGGGGGGGGGTACATTTGAGGACTCTCCTTTCCCTTTCTTCCCTCTCCTGTCTCACAGAGTATCAGTTTTGCTTTCAGCTTGCCTCTATTAGATGTCTTAATGCTGTACAGTGTGGCCTATCTTCAAACAGGAATGCTGATGATACCGGCCCTGCAGCGGTGCTCCCCCCAGCCCCAGCCCCGGCCCGCTCCTCCGCACAGAGGGCAATAAAGACACAAGGAGGATTAGTGTTGTGTGCCTAACAAAGTGGTTGCCAGAGAGCGAGAGGGCCATGCCCATGGGCGCAACCGCAACCCCGCTCAGCTCGGCTCGGCTCCGTCGAGGTCCCCCCCTGCCCGGGCTTCCCTAAGGTCCGCTCTCTCTCAGGGAGCTCTGTGGATGTGTGATAGACTCTGAGTGGGTGAATTCATGTTGATGCTAAAGAGGCAGAGGACGCAGACAGATAATCCGTGGCTTAAGCAGCGCTCTCGTAACTTTCCCCCTTAAACAAGGGAACATGTGTGCAAACAGTTAAAACATAATTCAGTCACATACTCGTGCATATTTTTCACTAAAGACTTTCCCACAGTGAACTCAGACAGAAAGTTCCTGACGAGTGGGAGCTCGTCAGCAGTTGATGGTGCAGTTCAAGCTACACAGCAGCCTCCTGCTCCAGTACGAGGACGACACCAGTTTATCCACAACCCGTCCAGGGCAGAGCTCAGGCAGGCTGAAGGCCTCGCACTGTGTTTATGGATATTTCTGCTCCTACAACCGGTGTTCATACAAACGGAACACCATATAATTGTACAAGTCCGATGAACAGAGGGGCTGTGGTCTCGTAAACGTTGTCACATTAGATAGGAGTGTTCGGTCTGACATCGCTGTGGAGGAACACGTCTGGCCTGTGAAGACAGTAGTTTGATGGAGAGCCGTGTACAGGACAGGACAGGTGAACCAAACAGCTGCTACCCCCGTTTCTCCTTAAAAGCCCCAGCGTGACAGATCGGGCCATGGCTCTCACACACAACGGCCCGCTTTTCACACGGTAGCTGTCTCGGGCCACGTTACACACGTCTTTTCGATGGTCCATTTTGTGCGTTGGGTAATGAAATTTACGCTGGAGAGCCCAGAATATGCAGACATATGGAGTCTATTAATGCTGCTGTTCTCCCTGTTTTCTGCTGCAGCCCGCTGCCCAACAGGACGGCCGGTCCCGCCTGTCTGCTCCGGGTCCGCTCCACTCCTCAGCCGGTTTCCTTTACCTCTGTCACGCCAGCCAGGATCCAGGCAGCAGCAGCAGGAAGCGCTGTGTACGGAAGAAAGGCCGCGCTCTGTTAATACTTGGCTAAGTTTACATGTTCATTCACACCTGATTATGGGGGAAACCCTGAGTTTGGGATGGTTTCACTACGTCACAGGGACAAAATAAGGAAAAGGTTGAACAGCTGATAGACGATATGGATCCAAGGCTTAGCAAAAATATTGTTCCCAATATTTAGCTGAACTCAGGAACGGATTTTCCTGGAACAAATGAACCCAA